GTATATATGTGTGTGTGTGTGTGTGTGTGTGTGTAATGTATGACACATTAATAAAAAATATTTTGATTTCATCTTTGTACTTTGGTATTAATGTTAATTTTAATAGCATATTTAGTAAAATAGTTTAGTAATATTTAGTAAATAATAAAATTAATACATTTATATTCATTTAAATAATAAAAAAATACGTAATGTTTAGATTTATTCTTTGTTCACATGCAGTGTACCGTTCATGTCCACTAGAGGGCGTCTCTCGTGTTCTCTTACTGTATAAAAAGATGGGACATTACCATTTTCTCACTTTTTATATACATAAAAGTCTTCCCAGCTGTTTGTTTGTTTGTTTTTTTAGCGTTTCCAGTTCCAACAGTCAGCCTTCTCTGACTGAATCATCCAGAACATGAACAGCACAGACTTGTGCTGATGTGTTACATTTATCATTTGCTTGGCACAATTTATTAACACTCTTACAAAAGTGCAAAGTGTGTGTTCCTCTCACACAAGGAACATTTAAAAAATACGAGTGCAGAACAAGCCCATCTCCATCTCAGTGTGAACGCACATCAAAGCCGAAAAAGAAAAGAAAATCCGATTAAATGTGGCAGATCAATGATTTTCTACTTAGAGGCAAATGCGATGGAAATAAAGCAGAGCAGCAGGGTACGGCCACGGCCCTCTGATGAGGTTTCAATTTGCACGGGGCCACAGGGAATCTGCTCTTCTCTCTAAACAGACAGACGACATGGGAACGCTCCACTAACATCTGTGAAACTACAACCGTTGTTCTCACACGTCACTGACCGCAGCAAAGATGGAGGGTTTCCACTGACCAATAACAGCTTTCCTTCAAAACATACTCACCTCAAATCATGCAGCTTATTGAGAAAGGTGTGATATATATATATATATATATAAACACTCAGAGCACCTTAGTATTTAACATCTGAACAGCAGAAGTAGCCTATACAAAAACAGCATGTATTTGGGTTAAAAGTGGTCGGCATTGTGTTTTTGTGCTGCTTTTGATTTGTAGTTGATGATTGCTCTGTTTTCAAATCCACAAACTCTGCCAGTTGGATCTATCTGTCATATTTCAGCCACATGAATGGAGTTCAGCCAGTGAAGATGAACATGGCGTGCTCATCAAAGTGGTCCTGCAAAACGTCCTTTGAGGTAAACTGAGAAGCAGCAAGCACAGCGTTTTATAAACATTTATTTTAAGTTGTTAAATGGTTGTCATAATGTTATATGTAAATGTATTGTTACTGTAATAATGATTATATTATTCTGCATGCATCCTTCATATTTTTTGCATAAACATATTTTATTATTAGGTATAGTTTAATATTTTTTTATTTTGACACTTTTATTTAGTATGTAATTTTAAGACTGTAATTTTAGTATTACACTACTATAGCATTTATTAATTATGTCTTATGTACATTTTAGGTCTTATGTGTTATTCTTATGTACTTAATAAGAATAAAAATAAATAATTTTTAAAAAATAAAAATAAGAATTTTTTTTTTTAAATGGTTAAGTTTTAATTTGTTTACTTTAATTTTATTTTAGTACCTCAACTTGAACTTGTTTCATTTCAGTTACATTACATGTGCTTTAAGTTTTTTTAAAAATAATTAATATATTTTATTATTACGTACAACTTAACATTTTTGTTTATTATTTCAAGGACTCGGTGTTGTGTTAGTATTATTTATAATATACTTATGCTTTTATCATTTTATTATTTTATAAAAAATATTTCAATTTAAAGCATTCTATTAAAAATAGCGTTAATTTATTTCTATTTCAGTTTTAGCTTTGGTAATTTTAAAATACTTAAAATTTTATTTCAGTTAAATGTTTTTTAGTTATTTATATTTTGTTTTATTTCAGCTATTTCAATTAACGAAAGCGATAGTAGTTTTTAATTTCAGTTTTATTTTTAGTTAACAGCAACAACAACACTGACAGAGACAAATAATGTTCTAATGTGACCTGGTTGTATTGCGTTATTTTCACTTCGTAACATACAGACTACAACCTACTGTAAATATAACATCTCACAAACATTGCCCTTTAGTCAGTTTTTAAGAATGTGTTACACTAGCATTTTATAAGCACTTAAAGAAATCTGACCAGGTAGCTATTTTCAAAATGTTTCTTCAGTTGTTTTAGTTATGTTTAAATTTAGCCATATGTTTAGAAGAGTTTAAAAATAGAATGTTTTTCAAATGTTCTGCAGCGTTACTGTACTATGTTGACTGCAACCGAAATGCGAAGCTGTTGAAATGTGTTATGCTTGCTGGGCAGTTGTGTTGGAGAAATGAGCAGGTGCCATAATTTCAATTCTGGCATTTATCGTTGACACGTAATAATGATGACATCCTAAACTAGAGCACTCACACATTTCAGCAACCATCTGTACCTCTTTCTCTTTCTCTGTCCATCTCTCATTCTCTTTTTGCTGGTTGTGTTTGTAGTCTCTCTCGCTCTCTTGCGTTGCGAGAGATAGAAGACTTTTGTGGTTCCTCTGTTCCAGCACTGGGTACTGCCGCCCCATATAACTTTCCCTCTCAATATCACTTCTAATGCTGTAACTGCATCTGCTCGCTCCATTCAGAAAGCTCCTCTTTGGCTGCCTGCTTCAAAACCTTTCTTCTGCTTCCTTCACAGACCAGCCAAAAACGCTCTGAACAGATTCAGGCTTCACATTTGTGGGTTAAGCATTTGGCCATTTCTCCTGGCGACCCATTTCTCCCTCTCTCGCCATCCATTCTATTCTTCTTTTCCCTCTCCTTCTTTTCTCCTCAGTAAATCTCTTGTCGTCTCCATTTACACTACATTTTCTTAGAGGTATCTAAGAACTAGAAAAACGAGATTTCTACTGGAGCTGTACACAAAACAAACAGTGTCTAGAGTAAGAATATATGTTGTTGTTTGCTTTATGTCCAAATTATTGAACATAAATCACATCACTAACCTCCAATCCATTTGTGTACAGTTCAGAGAACATGGTTAAATGTTAAATGATAGTTTTAATAATAATAAAAAAATATTATATGGTATTTAGAATTTTCTAAGTAATAATTTATTGTAATTAATAATTATTATTACAATGTATTATATAGATGATTATTATTTATTGTATCATTTATTATAATTATATATACTGGGTCTGTAAGATCCTAAAATTTGTAAATAATACAGTAAGTAAAATTGTGAGATATTGTTCCAATTTAAAATAACCGTTTTCTATTGTAATATATTTTAAAGTGTGATTTATTCCTGTGATGCAAAGCTGAATTTTCAGCATTATTACTCCAGTCTTCAGTGTCACCTGATCCTTCAGAAATCAGTCTAATATGCTATTTTATTGTATAATAAGTAATGAAGTGTAAATAATTAAATAATTAATTTTTATATCATTGCGTAAAATGTATAATTATATAATTAAAAATATATATTTTAATTATGTATTTCAATATATATATATATATATATATATAATGAAATAATTAAGACAATTTAAGAAAATGTAAACCATTGCAAAAAATGTAATAATTAAAAATTTAATAAAATTTTTAAATAAAAATTACAATTTAAACATGTATGTATGCATTATCTATGTGTGCATAGGTATACATAGATTCCAATAAATGCTATTTTTTCTCCCGGTTCATCACCCTCTAGGCAAATACCATAAGCCTAAATAATAGCACACCTGTTCTCTGTACAAGCCACATAATTTGATTTTCTATTCACAAACGTGAGAGACTATTTATATGCTAAAGTTTAATATTTGGCTTAGGAGTTTTGAAGAACCCCTAGGATGTAGCAGCATCAGAATCTGTATTTTTTTTTTATGATGACAGGCAAGCTTACGTTTAGAAGCATGCAATTTTGACAGAGCCTTATGCAGATCCAGCAAAGGCTCAGACTCGCTGACAGTTATAAAATGCAGTCAGACCACAGGGTCAGATTGAGGTCAGACCTTACAGATGCTTAAGAGAGCCAGAACTCGCTCACGGCTCCAGTGCGGGTGCCTTAAACATCAGTGTTCCGATAATGTCCCTCTTAAAATCACAATACAGCCTCTGATTTAAATTGCCTGGTTTTAATGAAAAAATGTCCGTTTTTTTCCCCTGAAAGTCTGGATTTAAGTCCAGCTGTGAT